TGTACGTCGTACGTCGTCGTCGTCTGTCGTCGTCGTACGTCGTCGTCGTGTGTGTGTGTGTGTGTGTGTGTGTGTGTGTGTGTGTGTGTGTGTGTGTGTGTGTGTGTGTGTGTGTGTGTGTGTGTGTGTGTGTGTGTGTGTGTGTGTGTGTGTGTGTGTGTGTGTGTGTGTGTGTGTGTGTGTGTGTCAGTCAGACAGCAGCATTAATTCCATCTGCAGGTCTCCTGGGACGTGGCTATTATCTGCATCACTAGCACTCTCCCATGGCTAATACAGGCGCTTCATCATGTCACTGTAATACGGCCAGAGGGACCAGACTATGATCTGGTGTTATAGCTTAATAGCCCATATTACTCAATGCTGTAGCCGTTGTGTAAAACCTTCTGTCTTGTTCTCCATCTGTCTTTTTCGTACCTCCCTATTTCAGTCTGACTTTTCTTTTTCTGGCTCATAGTTCTGTGTTTTTAGACAGCATGTTTGTTGTTCAATGCCTCCATGTTGATATGATTATAGTGTGTTCTTATACTTCAATCTTTTAGCAGTCCAATTTGAAGCCACTTCCACAAACCTTCCAACTTTTTAAAAGGCTGTTTCAGGGTTGACACCTGGTTTTGAGAGTAGAGGTTAGACATAGCTTAGGGTTAAAGTAAATGCAGTTTGTCCAGGGTCCTCATAAGAATACTGTATATGCACAGACAGATCTGTGTGTGACTTTTTCCTATCGCTCCAAGACTCCAGCCCAGTCAGTCCCAGTGCAGACATTAAGCCTCTTACTGGTTAGATCACACCGATCTGCGAGCCTGCTCTGAGCTTTACACAGCTTAACACACACACCACATAACACATACACACACCAATCATTGTTGCTAGTCCAGCAGGGAGTTAAAGAGGCGACCTTCTCCAAGTTTGCCTGGGAGCAAATATTCAGTATGTGTAGAAAGCGTGGTTTCTGTTGTCTGCACTGAGAAGTCCCCTACTGTGCAGCTTTACTGTATTAACTGTTTGATTGCTAATGTTGATTGACATCACTCTTGCTTAAGCTAACTCATTCAACTGATCAGTCATCAAACTATGATGGAACTGGTTGTGAATATATAAATACCCTTGGAAAAGAGCACTGAAACACACACACTTTTAACTACACTATTAATGTTAGTTTAAGCACGGATTTCACACATTTAAAGCTTTAAAGAGATGAAACAAAATGACATTCCTACTTCATCGTTGTATTTCTTACAAGTAGCCTAAGGAGTAAGGATAAAAAATGACACAAATAAACAACTTTTCCCCCCACCCATCCTTAGCATTTTGAAGCTGTATTATTGTTGGCGCAACGCTCGCAAAGACAACCGGATCCCGTTCCTTATTTTTCAGAACTTAACAACTATCAGTATCAACACTGGACATGCTGCATTTTGTTTCCCACAGTTATTTTTGTTTGCCACTTGCCATGTTCGCGTCTCATTAACTCATTGCCTCCATTCCCGTTTTATGTATTAACCAAAAGTTAATATTTATGGAGAAATGGTCGGATTTGGTACAGAAGACAGGCAGAGCTAAGGGATAACTTTGAGCATGGTTTTCCAGGCATGAGCTGCTCTATTGGAAGATCAAGTGCTTATTCCACTCAGTGTTTTAAACTATTGTACTTGGATTTAAGTAGGGGCCTCCTGAGGTCAAACATAAGGCTTGGTTAAACGAGTAAAATACTAACACTGTAGGGTCAGGACCACCCATGCTATCATGAGGCACTGAAGAAGCAAAAGCATGCACTAATAGTCAACATTTTAAACCCTAATAAATGTTTTGGAGTTAATTTTACAGTACAACAAGTTAGGCTTAGCCTCTTTATCTTAATTCAACATCCATTTGTTTAAAAAAAAAAAGATTTCAAAAGCTTCAGTGTGCCCTACTCACTACCATGCAATTCTCACAACCTCTTCATAAGGGTCAGTTCACCCAATTCCAAGAAAACAATATCCCAGTTTCTCAGGATAATGACCAGTTCGCTGTGGGCAGCTCCTATAGAAATGGTTGAGATCACATAGTGTGACGTTTGGGACATTGTTTCCTAGTAGGAATGTTTCTGATATCTTTTTTTTAAGGGGTGGTCAAGATGTCATTCGCTCAAATCATGTTGTACACGATGCAAATATCTCACACATTGACACGGCAAACGAAAACTGCATAGAAAAGAAAAGTAGAACAAATGTTTTGTTGTGATTTGGGTGAATTACTGCTTTTCTCTGATAAACCAAGAAGCCAACACATTGAACGTTTTCAGTCTCAATCACTGGTAATGAATAGTCTTAATAATTAGAAGTTCTTAGTATCATCCCTTTTAGTCCTGATCCCACAGCCCTAGTGTGTATTTACACTCTGCACCACCTTTTTCTCCACTTCACCTCCAAACTGAACTGTCCCTACAGGCATCCTCCCAGCTACTCATTAGTGTGCATGTTTGTTTTGTTGACTACAATGTGTGTGGGTGTGCTGTGCGTCCGCGTGTCCCACAACTCAGCCGACCCCATGTGGCTCTGCTGAGTGGCCTCCTGGCTCTAAGTCTATAAAGCTGTCTCCAACTTATTATTACCGCTCATTACCGCTGACCGTCATGGCACTGTGACAGAACTGTCCCTCTCACTCCTTATCCATGGAAGAACCCTTCCCCCATGTTCTACCCCCAATCCCTGCCTCTATACAATAACTACCAAGATCCCAGTTCTCATGCTTCATGCCTTTTCACATCATCCATGTCTATCATCATTTGTTTGTGTCCTCTATTCTTTTCTTAATTATCTAATCTTAAGTCTAGCCTATACCTCTATCCTTTGGTCTCCTTTCCCTTTAACCATGTTCAATTGCAGCTCCTAAATTCCTCCTGTCTTCTTCCTTGTCCCCAATTTCTCCTTCTTCCCGCCTTCCTGTCAGAACTTCTAAAGCTAAGTTCCACGTTCTCATATAATCCTCCTCTCCTGTCTCTTTTAGCCTAACCTGTCCTCCTACCTTCATGGTTCTGTAAAGTGTAACGAGGGAAAAAAGTCAACTAAAAAGCATATAAGCTGCAAAACAACAAATCTCTAACACAAACAGTTGAGCCCCTTCTCTTAATCATTAGGGACTGACAGTTTAGGATCCTGAACCAAAAAAGCCATAATTAGGCCATTGTTGAGTATATGCTTAGCACCTTGGATGCTAGATTGCCCTTTTTTTTGCTCTATTCAACATGCTGACTCAGCTAGGTAGTCGAAGAAAGACAGCTTTCTTATTAACTCTTAAGACTATCCAATTACACCAATTTCACAATTTTAAGTTTCTCAGTTTTATCGCACAAACATTAGCCTGTTGTGAAAGTAGGGCCAAATGATGAACGATTTCAGCCGGTATTGATTTAATGGAGAGAGACAGACAGCTGGCAGATACAGCTGTCAGACAAATATTTAATAGCACTTGATATTGTTCTTTGAGCTCATCAGCTTTCAGTCTGAGCAGCTTTAAGTGCAGAAGTGCCAATGTGCACTGTATCACTAGGGGTCTCCAATTTGTTATCTTAATGCTGTCGTCAACCATTCTTGTTTTAGCTTAGTTTTACTATGTCATAAGAAAACATATTCAAAGACACACTAGGCCAAACCAAGCAGCATTATCCGTACTACACACGGACAAATATGTCAACCACAACTACGACTGGGGATCAATCATTTTAAAATGTTTAAACTAATCCCAATTAAATTGCATTATCAATATTTGTCGCAGTTACAGCTGCAACAATTAGTCCATTTGTTGTCAGATAATTAACTGTCAACTATTAGGAAAAGTCCTCAGTTAAATCGTTTTTTAAAAGCGAAAATATAAAGTATTATTTGGCTGTGCTTAGCATGTGCCAAGTTGCTGCTTTTATCTGTTTTGTATGATTGTAAACTGACCAACAACTTTTTGTGGTTGAGTGTAGTTGCACAAAACAAGACATTTAAAAGCATTTTAACAGCCATCCTTTATCAGTGGGAGGTTCTTTGAGTTCGGCTTGGTGTGCGTCCTTATAGGCCCAGTGGACTTTGCCTACTAATGCAGGGATAAAGATAGAGCAAAATGGGGGGTCATTGAGATAGATGGACACTAAAATGATCCATATTGTGGGGTCCATCTCTTTAACGGCATCTTTTCATGCTGACTTTTCTTTCTGTATTTTTGTCCCTTGAAGATGCTTGAGGAGGCAGCAGATAAAAGCATCCACCAAATTACATGTGATTGGCAGCTCACAAAAACTACGAACAAGCACTCTTTCCAATGCAATTGGAACAGGAAGTAATGGAGTTATTAGATGACAAAGGCTTGACAGCCAAATGGTCCAAAATGGGCAAGAAAACAACATTTGGCTATGTTTTTTTTGTTTTTTTTCCTTCACCTTTATTTGTATCCCCTTTGTCCCCTTTCCTTTCCATCACTACATTAATGTGAATGCTAAGCCTTTCATTAACTAACATACATTCCAATTATTACCAACTCATGAGTCTTCCAACTATAGCTCAAATAAAGTGTTACGCTCTTGAATTTTGTTGGTGGTTTTCGTCCTAACATTTCTGTATCAGCATTCAGCAAAACAACTTGTGAATAATCTACAGCAAATCTTCAAGCTGTAATTATTGCATTGTACACAACTATTTCCGACCTCATCAGACCTAATGCTACCAACAATGAGACAAATTGCCTCTTTTAACTTGATGGTTCATCAGAAGCTCCTTGCCCATGCTGTTCTCGAGGGGTTACAGCGAGTCTGATTTTCTCCAAGCTCTCTCTGACACTCTTTGTCCGTCTTAAGCTTTTGCTGTCTGACTGCCTGCAGCCCTTCGTCTTTTTCCAATCTCTACCTCTGACACACCTGTCTCCAGATTGTTCAACTAACCTGGTAGGCTTCATAGCCACATTTACCCTGGCCTCCTGCTTGCTATAACTTCAAGACAGACTTCTGAAGTAGACTTAAAAAAGGACACTTTTTCATTTCGTTTATATTGTTCCAAGGAGCTTGTCATAGAAGAGGAGAGAAGTGTTTTCAGTGACAACCTAATCTACAGTCTTCAAGTTCAGCTACTATGTCAGTGTCATGCTGCTCATTGAAATGTGTCATAACATTTCAAGGTCGTCCATCAAATCTGAAACACTTTTTAAAACCCCTTATTTTACTCAATCGGCTTTTTGCTTAAATTAATCTTTCAAAATCTTTCAAAATCACACTGAAGCTCTGGGAGAAAGGAGATAGTGAGATAAAAAGACAAGGAGATTACAAGAATGAGAAGAAAATGGGGATAAGGAGTAAGATGAATGTTCGATGACAAGGAAGGATGGGAACTGAGCCAGAAAAAAAGTGAAGGATGACAGAAGAGATGATGATGGGGACGAAGGGGGGTTGGAGGAGGAGAAAAGGAGGGATGGGAAAAACCATCTGGAACATGAGACAAAAAAAAATCTGTGCCTCTTCAACATCTTATTTAGCCACGGAAGACTGCTGCCACCGGGGGGGGGTGTGTGTGTGTGTGTGTGTGTGTGTGTGTGTGTGTGTGTGTGTGTGTGTGTGTGTGTGTGAGCTTGCTGCAGATTGGGTTCTGTCCAATATATTCTGAACATGATAGGAATTATAATGGTCTTCATTGATAACATCTGTTATTTAAAATGACAAACAGTGATTCAATTATTTATTTTATGGGACATGTTTGTCATTTCATTGTCAGACAGGTTTAATAGAAGGAAGCAAAAACACATTTTAATAACCTTAAGCTGTAGCTGAATAAAAACACAACAGCTAATAAGAGAGGATGTCATAATGAGATCCTTATCACGTCTTTTCTTTCCTATTCGTCCAGCCTGAATGCAGTTATTTATGCACTTGCATTGTGGAAACCACGGGCCATAATCACACCTTCATTAATATGATTGCGCATACAGCTGCTTTTGTCAGCACTATCTCTCAGATCTACATACAGCCACAGAGCAGACTGTGATTTGAATACCCAGAGACGAGAAAAAACGCCACGGTCAGCACTATTGGTCTGGCGTGTACAGCTGAATGTTTGCCAACAGTTGTGACTATATGAGAGATTTTCCATGTGGATAAAATAGATGCACAAAACCAACCGTAACACAATCAATCCCCCGGAGCTAGGGGAATTAAATTGTTCCCAGGAAAGGTGGCAGATTACTGTCTAACGAGTGGAGGTGGTGTTGGAACTCCAGAATACATGAATACATTTTCTAAACTAAACACCAGTTCTTTTTTTCTTTAAAATACATAATTCCAACTATTTCCCAACTCCAGTAAGTCATTCTCCTATTAGCCTTCGCCCTGGGAATACTTGGTAGTGGAAACTCAACTCCTGGTTTGAGAATAATATATTCCATCATGACTTTCAATATCTTACTCATGAATTCAATTGACCCCGATAATGAACTGAGAGGGATTGGAAATTGAATGAACTATAACCTTGATAAAATAAATGGGCTTGAGTGTAAAATAATAAAGTCATAGGTGTCGTTGGTCATACAGTGAGTTTACAACCTCAACTGTGCTTACCAACAGTAGCAGTTTTTTAACCCTAACCCTAACCCTGGGCTTATAATTGTATAGTTTAAAATTATTTGGTCACTTCATTTCGATCATTGATGATGGGTTACTGGGTCTTACGGAACTATTGAAAGACTAAAACAATATTTTAAAAAGCATTGTTGTGGTTTGATAGCAATGGTATTAGTACTACAGTAGCAACCATGTCTAAACAAGACTAACTATGTGTTTATAAAAAGACAACCAATCAAGAAATAATGACATTATGTTCGCTGACAACATCAACCAAGAACAAATATAAATGTGTGGTATTTGCCAAATGCAGCCAACAATTCAACCATCTTACAATGATTGTACTCACCCCATTGTTAGGATAGGCCACCCATCCTAGGTCACCCACCACAGAGCGAGAATCCAGCAGGTTCACTGTTAAAGAAAAACAAAGAAAGTCTTAAGTTTAGGCAAAAAAACACAAATCAAAACAAAAAAGGATACGTCTGAGAGGTTTTCTTGTGATGTAAGCAAGTGCAATATCCTAACCAGTGCACTCCTCAGAACATGTTTCCTTCTCATCTTTTCCAGCAATGGTGACGATGTAGTCTCCTGAGTTCTGTATTATCCGTGTGTCCAAATGCTCATTTCACAACAAAGTCCCATTGTAAATGTCAAGTGTATCCCACAGGAAACTGTGAGGAGAGTTTTGGGAAAAACTTTAAAAATGCGTTTTACCACAGATTTTCTGTTCACAAAAATGTTAATTATGACTAAATAACAATTTTTCCAAAGTACGTTTAATCAACTGGATGGTATTTCTTTCTGCATTTACATGAAAAATACCTTGACAGCATTTTCACAGACAATGAACACAGTCAATCACATGAGTGAACATATGTTGTATCTGTCTTCCAACAGCTTTAAAACCCGTCTGAGTTTGCAACGACATGCACTGTCATAAATTAAACTTGAGTTGTCAGGCCGGAGTTCAGTTTTCTTTATCTCATCTGTGATAACGCTTGGTTTGTTCTTAGTCTGTCACAGTGTGCTCAAACAATAAAAGAGAGAAAGTCAAACTGGTTGCTCCAATGTCAATCTACTTGTAATTTGAGCAAAACATTGAGCAAACCACCAATAAAAGCATAGTATAGCATATATTTTCAAATCTTACAAGGACACAGTCAAGGGACATGGAGAATGCCTTCTTAGAAGAACAGACATTTTCCTGTATATGTTGTTTGGGCTTGTCTACAACAGCAACAGCCAACCCTCTGTGATGTAGTGCAACTCTGATCAGCAACGGAATGCTTTTACTTATAGGTTCCTCTAATGGTATATCCAGTTAAGGGGCTTGGTACAGGCACTCTTTCTCCTGAAGTTGTGTAAAAGGTTTTTAACCACTGTTCATTTGAAACTGTAGCTGTTTTCATAACTTGGTCCACAAAGCTCTCAAATGCTGGGATAAAAAAACTACAAAGAAAAAATATGCAAAGGGGCCTCATTCAAAACATCTTATATGCAAACACGTGCTCAATAATGTGACTTTATTTCCCTATCAAATCTAAGATGCCTAACCAACGCCTCATTAGGGCTGCTCGATTATGGCAAAAATCATAATCTCGATTATTTGGGTCAATAATTGATATAACGATTATCGAAAACGATTAGCCATTTACTTTGAAAACATCAATTTATTGGAGAAAAAAATGTGAACATTATGTTTTTAACAGTTCATTACCCTGAACTTTAAGTATAATTCAACTGAAAAACCAATACATCAAAAAATTAATTTGAAAAAAAAAAAAATAGTAATGATAATAATAAAAAAATAATCGTTTTATTTCGATTACGTTGTTTTCGTAATCGTTGCAACCCTGTTCGTAATTGCGATTCAAATACGATTAATTGAGCAGCCCTACACCTCATCCACGATAACTGGTGTGTATTTCACACTTTTCAGATGTGTTCTGACGAATGAAAAACTGTGAGTGACAGCTAATTACAGAGGACAATGGACTTCACATTACTAGATATCTGTTTTCTATTTTCCCTTGAATGTAATTAAGCATCACAAACAAGGCATATTGGTATAAACCAGTGATCATCTTTCCAACTAAGCCTTGAAGAAGTTCTTGTGTATTTCTATTTGGAACTGCCAACAAGAAAGTCCTGTGAAACATTAATGAAGAGCAAACAATAATACTTAATGGAAGAGATTAAATCAATCGTCCAAAGGTTAAGTATCATAAATGCAATCCATGTCTTAAAGCAGCTGTTGAGTGCATTATTTCATTGATAAGCCATGTCATAAAAACGCCAATCCATATAAACCTTGACTTGTCAACTAAAGAATAGAACATCCGTAGTTGGCAGAATATAATCTGAGGCGGAAGCTAACTGAGACACAATCGCTGTGTAAACCCCTCCCAACACACAGACACACACACACTCCACTAGTCTTACTGTCTCCGCTGCTCTGCAGAGAAAAATAAAAGATGTCCTTAGGAGGCGATTAGACAACTAATTAGGCCATAAAGAACAGATAAGTGATGCTGAACTAGATCATAAGGGATACGTTACCTCTTTTACTCTCTAGCGTTCTCTCTAAGGATCAAACCACCTAACAAGTTGGAGCTCAGCCGTGACAATGATCTACAAAACTTATTATTAAAAGTCATGACCATAAAATGAAAGGTGACATTACTTCAAGGATACTCTAAATATTACAAGGGTGCTCAAAAGTAAGTGGATTTTTAGCATTGGGAATACAATTCTTTTTTGATTGATAACGGAATATCTGCTCTGAGGCAGCTTTTTTTTTATTGTCAAGTACTATACGGTGATGGTTTTAAGGTCCAACTTGACTTCAGTGACCCCTACAATGTTGTCTGAAGCCATATCTTACCTTCTAGTTTTGAAACCAATGGTTAAATCAAACCACTTGTATTTCCGCATTTCCATCTTAAATGTTTGAACGTGGCATTTACATGGATTGCTCCGGGCTTAATGGTCTCTCTAAAACAGATCCACAGGCCAGCGGGCAGATATGCACTTCTTTTCAAAGCGTTTAACTGTATCTACCACCCCTCATTTGATCAACGCCATTACCCACAAAAACCAAAAGTGATGGACTCCCTAAAGTGTCTGCTCACACACCCCTCATTAGCCAGACATTATTATTATTAATCGAACAGAATGACAATCTCTAAAACAGATGTGAGGCACCTTGCTCTGCATCGAGGAGATGTTCGCAGAAATTGATCGATTTAAATAAGAATGGATTAGCCTCAAGAGAGGAAATTAATCAAAGTGGCACAGTGTGTGCAGTTTTCCTCAGTGTCTGCCATTAGCGCAGAAACCGTACTGCAGGTCATTTTAATATAATTAAGGAAGTGTCAGGAGTTTTCTTTGTTCACTTATTTCCCCTTCACTTCAGGAAACACTTGTAGTATATCAACGCAAATGAAAGGTACAATTCAACCTGGAACAGTCGTATGAGGTAAGTCTGCAGTGTGATGTGAGGACAGATTATGCAGCATGTAACCTAAAACAAAAATGTGAGATGGCTAAGTGGGAAATGTCTCTAATGATTCCTCCCAAGATGTTTAAGAAGATCCGAAAAATTGTTTAATCCTAATTTTTCAATTACAATAAATTAGCCCAATGAGAGAATATTGGCTGTTTTAATTATGGGCTTCACCATACTCTCCAATTATGCATGCAGTGTATGATTATCCAATGCAATGCAAATATGAGCCAAATGAATCTAAAATCTGCGTAAGATTGCAGCCTTTGGCTCTTTAAGCGTCTTAAGAAAGGTGTCTATGCACATGTTTTTTTCAGTTAAATTTAACTGGGAGCACTTTAGAGACAATAGATGTTAAATAAGTGTTGCAGAGCAAACAAAGAATAGGTGTGATAAATAAAGACAGCAGAGGATCATGTGGAGGCGTATATAAAGGACATATCTGTTTTCATCACTGGAGTCAAAACACAAACTTGTGATTCAGTCTCCCATTGATTTGTTCTCACAGCCTCAAGCTTGGCTTTAACAAGGCAGGAATTCAAGTGTTTTAAAGTACGGATATTTCTGCTGCAGACAACAAACCTTATGAGTATTCAGTTATCGTGGATTTTATGTCAAACACTTTTTTAAAGTTATGTCGACTTTTCACACCTTTTGGGAACCTATATGCCAGTTTGCACCAGTATATTGATGTGCTATATCCCATAAAGCCCAGAATACAAATCCCTAGGGAGGTTATTTAATTCAGAGGACACTGTCCCAAACAGGAACCTATACATGGGTAAACTTGAACTCTTCTACATGGTGCCCCAAGGCTGCCCTGCGAACCACTCCAGGACCCCTGAGTGGTCACACTTTGGTAAACACTTTTGTGATTGTACATTTGACCAAATAAATCTGCCACGTGAAGAATAAGCAGTTTGATGGATGTAAATGCTCTCTAAATAGCCCTAAACAATGACACTCATCTTTAGCCATTACAATGCCAAGTCTATGGACAATAGTGTTGGAATATTATATTTTTTCTTGTTTTTAACCAACACTGTAAATGTCCATATTTTATATGTAGTACAGGGGGCTGAAGGTGAATTAGTTCAGACATCAAAATATCCCAATTTGCACCGACCATTATGGAAATGTTGTGCCAAATTACGAGGGGGTGCCAAATTAAACTGTTCATATGTGACAAGATAAGTAGCTTTACTGCAAGCTACAGTCTGAACTCACTAGCTGTCAGCCATTTCAACAGTATCAGAGGTTAAAAGGATTCAATGCGAATATTTAAAAAGACAGAATGCTAGACTGAACCAAAAATAAGCTTTAAAAAGGGAATGCAGAGTCTCAGTAAATCAATCTCAATCTCAGTGAAACGCTTAAAGTTACATTATTATTAGAAACCTGAGGTAAATTAAAACTCATTGCCAAAGCAAGGAAATTGGAATTCCACACGAGAAACCTTATTTTATAACACCACCACAGGGTGCTTCAACGTCAAGTGAGCAGTTTGAGTTGCAACGGAAGATGTTTAAGATCTTCACAGTGAATGTCTGCAGCGCACTGTGCGTCTGTCGGTTCTCCAAGGACCGGTTATCTGGATAGACGCATGTTCTGATCAAAGGTCCTCTTTTTATCTCAGCCTTTACTATTTCGGAACAAACAGTCATTAAACACTTCGGGGACACAGCTGTCATAAACATTCTCTGCTTAAATGTATTGTATAGGCGACCTCCTTTTCGGTAAGACAGCGTCAGAGCCGTGTCAGCCAGGATAGAAGAGACCGGGGGGCTGGAGCACCAGACACCGACCCTTAACCTCCACTCGTGCCTGTCAGTGGCAATTAAAACAAAGACGTGTCACCGAACAACTGTCATCAACCCCAAAGTGTCCGTGCGTGTTTTACCTTCATTTGCGGGGATGCACCATGCTCCGTGCAACGCCAGACTCCAAACCCACGTCCATGCCACCAGCCGAATTCCACAACTCCACCAGCGAGATTGCATGGCGCATCCAAAAATCACAACCGGTCACAGGGCAGGGGGAGCTTCTATCCTAAACAACAGCAGTTTCGGTCAGCATGAAGCGGGATGCCGTAATGAAACCATCTGTATCGGTGTGCGTCCGCTCAGAGAGAAGGGAGCTCATGTTCTGCGGCGGGTAGAGGAAGCAAGTGAGAGCGGAGTGCGCTCTGGGTTTGGGGAGGCGGGCAGCCCGCCGGAGGGAGGGGGGCGGAGTGAAGCTCAGGTCTCTCCAATCACTGTGTCCACAGGTGAACCCCAAATGATAGTCCAATACTCCTCTTTCGTTCCAAATGTAACGACATTACTTTTTCAAGCTCCTTACATTGCACTTACGCACGAGTTAGGGTTGTTTCTTACAAACCTTGTTACAAATATGTAAGTATTTTTTTTGATTGATGAAAATGATTCCTTAATGGACCCCTGAAAATGATTCCTTAATGGACCCCTGACGGACAGTCACCTACACTCCAGGATAATTATTGCTTGAATGCATAACTAATTTCCATATAGGGAGCAATAACATGTCATCTAGGAGTGGTAGGACTCAGTAGAAAGAGATTAGACATGAGCCGTGAAGTCTTTTAAATAATCATTGACGTAAAGCTGTTATCTGATATTTGGAAAAAAACATCTGAAGCAGCATTTTCTGTCTCCCTTAATCCTTTTCACTGTTTGTTGTTGTCTTTACTTTTAACCGATGTCACCTCAGGAGGCGAATTTGAAGTGTAGTCACGGTAAAGTGCTTCATACTGTAGGCTACTCTTAATTGGATACCCATTTTGTTAGAATGAAGGCACAATGTAATGACACTGTATAATTTACATTTAAATTATTTGTATGTGTAAAGGTCTTTAAACACAAAGCCGATTTTTGGCGTCAATAGATGTCTGGCCGTCGATGAGCGTCCTGTCGCCCTACTCAGATTGGTGTGTCCCGCCCCGTCATGTCTTTTCGGCATTGCCGAAACCTTCCACAGTCGATTCAACATGTTGAATCGGGAGGTTGTCGGCTACAGGCCGTCTGCCAAAGAAATCACTTTGATTGGCTGTTCAGGACGTGTCATTTGGTGTCAGTTTGGTGTGTAGGCCCCTTAACAGTCAATCCAACAACAAAAAAAAGGATTATTGTTTTTTCGAATTTACTGCATTGTGAAGTAAGCTTTGAGGCAAACCCCATTTAATTGTGATCCATAGATCTCTTTTTCCAAGAGACCTATTAAAAGTGTTGGATTTTGAAACAAAATTGAGGCCAAACCATGGAATTACATCCGGGTCTTCCCTGTGATGCCATTGGACTCAAGAAGACTCTTCACATTGGGACAGAGATATGCAGATATCTGTAAATAAGTGCAAAAATAATATAAAAGTGAATACACTTCTGTAATTACCTAAATTATTTATTCTCAAATGTTTTAACAGTAAACTAAATGTGCCCACAAAGGCTCCTTTGATAATTTTATATAACAGTGTAGGTGCACGCATCTATGAAGTGTGAATATGAATTAAATATACACCTCCACCCCCGTCCCCAACACATATACCTTCTGCCAACTCTTCACACCATAACTGTGAATGCCTTCGTCTTCTTTGTCTGCTTTCTTCTTGTTAAATACATGTTGAAGTAAAAACACTCTTGCCACTTTAAGTCTCCGTTAGGGAGTGTTTTATCCTCACGTTTCCTCAAAGTGTGTTCAATTAGTTTATATTTATGGCATCATAAATCTGTAAGATGATGTTGGATGATTCTGTGATTGCATCTTGTCTTTGATCTCAATCTCTCTTCAATCTTTCTGTTCTCTCATTTCATACCATCTAACTGAGCCTGTAATTCACATTAAAGTAATTGCACACAGTTATTTTGTCTCTTTTTACGTCTCTCTTTCCTATAGCCTTTCTTTCTGTCTTCCTCTCTATTTGTCTTTATGTCATTCTCCCAGCTTTTCCCCATTTTTCATCCTTCATGGTTCAACTAAGTTGATCACTGAGGGCTCTGGGTGATTACCCTGTGCAAATGCAACCATCCTTGTCAACCTCAATAGATGCTAAAATCCCCATCTCCTCTTTTTTTAAAGCATCTCCAAAATCTCCAAAACTGAGATGTTTCCTTCTTCACATTAAATGCTAAACACTTGCTAGCAACCATAGGTGTATTGCCGAGGTGGTGCTGGTGGTGGTGTATTGTAGACATGTAGGGGTCTGATCAGCACTGACAGCGGGTGTGGAGGTGGTTCTGGGATGCCAGAAGCTGTTGTTGTCTCGTGGAGGTGTCGTCGGCTTAATTCTATGAAAATGTCTGCGGAGAAAAAATGCAATAAAAATTCCACCCCCAAACTTCAAACCACCCCCGACCAAGTCAGATATCTGTGAAGTATCTTGTTTTTCTGTTTTTCAGGGATGTGTTTTTGTTGTTCTTTTTTATGTTTGGGTTGTTTTAGTTATTTCAAGATCTGCTACAATGAAGTTTGATGGTATTAGTTTTTAATTGACTTTGAAGGCAGGTGGTAAAGATAGGAACTCACTACGAAATAGGAGATACATGATCAAGGATACATCAGAAAACCATACACAAAACCTCTTATCTGACTGCATTCAACATCAAAAACCTGATGACCCATGATAACAGTGGTGATACCAATGTTGTAAAAAAATCACATGTCAATATCTGTATTAGTGAAAGACATTTTGGGCAAGTTACATTCAGTTTTTTGACTGCATTTGGTGACCAAAAACGATATAAGAGCAGTCAACCCAAATATTAAAGAGGCCCTCATGTGATTTTTATTTTTGTTCCCTTTACTGTAGTGTGTTATAGTTTTTTGAATGTAAATGGTTTGCATAGGCTAAATTCCAAATGTTCCCTCCAGAGGGAGTTTCTCTCCCACACACTCTCCCCCTGCCTGAAGCACCATCATAGTCCTTTGTTTACTTCTGTAACATAATGACATCACTAAGTAACACTGGCACTTTGGCAAGTGCTTCGTCACATTGTACATGATAGGCTAAGGGGCGGGAAATCTTTTAGCGGTTGACCAATCACAACAGAGCCGGCCAGCTAACCAATCAGAGCAGACTGGGCTCTGGTTTCAGACAGAGGGTGAAAAGAGGTGCTGCAGCACAGGCAGTATGAGAAAAATAAAGGCGACCCAGGGTCATATCATGCATTTTTGGGATTTGAACAATTATTATTTCAAATTGAAATCTGCATGTCTTTCAAAAATAAATGTTACCCATTATATTTCCCTTTTATTTGCTGCTAAAATGACTGAAGGATTTTATATTTTTCATTATAAGACCCAGCAGCAACATTTCCCAAAACCTAGGGTTTGTGCAATCAGATGAGCTGGTACCTTGAGGGCTGAACAGTCAGCTGTGATTTTGTGTCTGCCCACTCATGACAGTAGGGGAGGAAATGAAAGAGCAAGGTCAGGCAGGGGCAGTGGAGTACACACACAGCTCCCCCCTCTGTCAAACACACACACACAAACACACACACACAAACACACACACATTTGTACCAGGGGGTACCTTGTTTCTGGCAGTAAGGACATATATGGCTGTGGCATAAGGATGAAGTCAAAACTGACCCAGTCCCCCAACTGAGAACACTTCGCACACGTACATGATTTTTTTACATTTATATTGTCGTATTCTTGTCTTTTGAGAAATCCAATGTAACATATCATGTCTACTGTATGTTGAAATATATAAGCTTTTACTATGTACTTCAAAAGGTTTCTATTATGAACGCAATAGTATTTTTACGCAATAATTCATTTACACGCATCCACCAAGGAAGCTTTGTTTTTCAGCTTTGTTTGCCTGTCAGCAAACATATGTGAAAACTACTAGCCCGATTTTAATGTAGTAAGTTGAAGGGTAAAACAACCCACATAAAGTAAACGGCCTTGTTGGAATATTGCACATTTTATTGCCATTTTACTTTTGACTTATTTTTTACTTATGTGACAGATTCCTCTATGAAATAGTAAATGTTGTGGGAGTGTGATAGTGAAGTGATCAATAACTCCTACTCCTTCAGATCAGCCAGCCCTGGGGAGAAATGGGCCTTGAGTTGAGGAATCCCTACACCCCTCTTCAAACACATACACACACACATACACACAATCACTGCACCCCCATTCCCAAAATAATCAGCTTTGGGGCTTGACCAGCTGGCCTCTGATGCTGGGAAATCTTGGATTTTCCAGAATGCCAATATGTGTTAAGGCCTGCAGATAAAAGTCTGCTCTTATTTATCTGAATCAGATGCTTTAAGATGCTAGTTCCTCTGGGGCCCAGGAGCCATCAGCATGTTAGGGTTTAAACTGTAAAAATACCATTCATTTCACTAACCATACCTGATTCTTTCCCATTATTCCTTAATTTGCTTGATATGACAACTTAATGAAATCAGCTGTCAGCGTTCAGAGCTTCTTAATTCACAGTTAAACAAGTTAAATGAACTGGAAACAAGTTGGGTCTAACACAGCTTTAACCATTAGAGCCTGAATGAGTTATATTTGGGTGGCACGGCAGAGAAAACGTTTACAAACCTGTTTTTTCCAAGAGAGAATGATGGACCTCTTTTGTTGGCAGACATGTTGGCATTTCATAGCAGGAAAAGCATGTGTCTAATTACTAACATGAATAGTGGCAGCTTTCCATTCCCATTGCAATTGCAGAACCCTGCTATAGTGCATGCTGGCTCACTGGCAGGGTTTATTGGAGCAATTAAAAATAAAAAGAGCCATCATGCATGTTGTAAGCTACACCTGTGCTTTTTGAGAGAAAATACCTTACGTGAAAAGGATGTGATGGCAGTGGGAACTCGGAAAAATATCTTGCAACTCCTGCTGGTTGGTCCTGTCGACGGTTCATTGAGAACACAAGAGGTGATCTTGGAGATGACATCATAATCTGACCAGATCTAATTGTGAAAGTCTTTCCTGTCAGTCTAACATGTCTCGGCAGTGAAAAACACCTTCTTTGTAAGATTAGTCAGCAAGACACCATATGGCGCCATGTAATCTAAAGCCGTATTTCCACTGCATGGTACAGTATGGCACTGCTTGACGCAACTCAACTTTGCTCTTTTGG